GGAGAAAGAGTTAAAGCAATAGAGAAAATTTAAAATAGGTTATGGGCCAGGCGTGGTGGCACACACCTGTGATCCCAGCACTCAGGAGGCTGAGGCTGGAGGATCACTGTGAGTTCAAGACCAGCCTGGGCTACATAGTGAGTTCCAGGTCAGTCTTAACTATATAGTAAGACCCTGTCTCAAAAAAACAAAAATAAATAAATAAAATACGTTTTTCAGAAAATAGGAGCAATTTGAAAACTTTGACCTAAATATTCAACTCCAGAAGTTGGAAAAGGAGTAATAAGGCAATACCAAATAAACAAGAAGGAAGAAAATGATAAAAACATAGGCAGAAATCAGTAAAATAAAGGGCAATAATAACAAAATATAGAATATCAGCAAACTAAAAATTGAAAATGTTAAGAAAGCAGATTGATGAGCTTTGGTGAAATAGGGCTAATTCTCAGTAATTCTTAGGATCTCACTATCTTTGTTTAATATTTTCTGGTTCCTCCTGAGTTTCCCAATTTCTCCAAGTTAAGTAGCCTAGGGTTCAGCCTTGGACTTTGTTTCCTCTTTAACTATACTCGATTTGCCTTGGTGACCTCATAAAAAATTCATGCCAGGAACAGGGCACACACCTGTAATCCCAGCTACTTGGGAGGCTGAGGCAGGAGGATTGCAAATTCAAGACCAGCCTGGGCAATTTAGCAGATCCCTTCTCCAAAATAAAATAAATAAAATAGAATAAGAGGCTGAGAATGTAGTTCACTGTCAGAGGGTTTACCTGCAATCCCAGCACTGGGGAGGCTGAAGCAGGAGGATCTCCTAGAGTTCAAGGTCAGCCTGAACTAAGTTGTGAGATCTTATTTCAAAAAACAACAAGAACAAAAAATTCAGAATCATATTAATATATAAAACCTGATGGAGAAAGACTGATTATTGAATATTAATATATTCTTTATGGGGAAGCTATAGCAGAAAAATTAAGCTATACCCACATCTTATATGTATTAAGTCAAATTTCTAATGCCTCACAGACATAAATATGACAAGACTACAACACCAACAGAAGAAAACATAAAGAGAATACCTTAGGGAAAGTATAAGCATCTTAAAACCACAAGCTATGGACCAAAATATTAGCTAATTTGCTTATCTTATTTTTGGTACGAGGGATCAAACTTGGAACCTTGTGCTTGTGAGGCAGACAGTGCAACCACTGAGCTAAATCCTGGGCCCTGTTTTTGTTTTTTTGAGACAAGGTCTCACTATGCAGTTTAGGGTGACCTTGAACTCAATATGTAGCCCTGGCTAACCTCAAACTCAAGGTGATTCTCTTGCTTCAGGCTCCCAAGTGCTGAGATTATAGACATGTGCCACCACACCCAGAAAAACTGCTTATCTTAATGTCATCAGAAAGTTAATACAGTAGATGGTACACCAGAAGATATTTGAAATATAAACCTGAAAAGTGATTCATGCATAGGATATATGAGAACTCTGTGTATCAACAAGGAAAAAAGAAAGAAACTTCAATAGAAAAGCATTAAAAAAAAATAATTCACAAAATGAGAAAGCCTGGATGGTACTGGAGATCATCAAACTTACTTAGAATCCATGAAATAGAAACTGAACCTAGCACTTGGGAGGCTGAGGCAGAAACATCGCAAGTTCAAGGACAGGTTGAGCTTCACTGTGAGTCTCAAGGCCGGCCTGAACCACATGGCAAGTCTTGTCTCAAAAAAAACTATAACTAGTTTCCACCATCTTTCTGTGCCACCATAATGGTGCAATGAATGTCCTGGCTTATGCTCTCAGGAGCATCAACAATGCCAAAAAGAGAGGCAAATGCCAGGTCCTTACTAGGCCGTGCTCCAAAGTCATCATCTAGTTTCTAACTGTGATGAAAAAGCATGGTTACATTGGCGAATTTGAAATCATTGATGATCGCAGGGCTAGAAAAATTGTGAACCACACAGGCAGGTGTGGAGTATGGAGTGATCATTCCCAGGTTTGATGTGCAACTGAAGGACCTGGGAAAATGGCAGAATAATCTGCTTCCATCCCATCAGTTTGGCTTCATGGTACTGACAGCCTTAGCTGGCATCAAGGATTACGAAGAAGCAAGATGAAATCATACAGGAGGGAAAATCCTGGGATTCTTTTTCTGGGGGTGTAAATCATACAGATAAAATGCCCCAGAGGACCAAAAGAAAAAAGAAAGAAAGAAAACACATTGAGAATTTTGGGTTTGTTTTGTTTTTGTACTGAGAATTGAACTTGGGACCTTGGGCTTGCAAGGCAGGTGACAGCCCCACTGAGCTAAATCCTGTCCCTAGAAAACAAATTGAAACAACTGTGATATATACCTCTGAGTGCACATGTGATTAGCAAAAGAATAAGAAAACTGTTTAAGTATTGGTACGGGTCTAGCAGATAGAGAATCCTCCAGAACTGCTAGTGAGAATGTGTATCAATTCAAGCACCTTGAGAAATGGCCTAGTGGCAGACAGTGAAATTAAACACACAGATATCCTATGGACTGGCAAACCCTCTTTGGGTGCATAACCCAGAGGGACTGTTTCATAGAGACTGTGTAACAAGATATTCAGCCACCTGTGCTCCCAGAACTCTGTGAGGCCTCAGGTAGGAAGACCACAAGGTTGAGCTCAGCCTTGTCAAGTTGGTAAGAACCTGTTTCAAAATAAAATATTTTTTTAAATGGTTGGGAAGGGCTGGGGATTTAGCTCAGTGGTTCGGCCTCCTGCCTTGCAAGCACAAGAATTGGAGTTCAATCCCCAATACCAAAAAAAAAAAAAAAAAAAAAAAAAAGGGTGGAAAGAGAAAAAGGGGGTTTTTTAAAAAAAAAAAAAAAAAAAAAAAAAAAAAAAGGTTGGGAATGTCAAAGAAGTGGAGATTAAGAGACAATAAACAGAGGGCAATAAACAAACAGGTAAATAAAATGCAGGGGATGCAACCTGAAGTACATATTATGCAGCAGTTAGAGGTGAAGAGCTAGATGTACAGAGACCAAGAGGAAATCCTAAAACAGAATTGCATAAAAAAGTAAATGAGGGCTGGGGATTTAGATCAGTGGCACGGGCCTGCCTCACAAGCACAAGGGCCTGAGTTTAATCCTTGGTACCAGAAAAAAAAAAAGTAAATTAAATGAGCTGTGGTGGTGCACTCCTGCAATCCCAGCTACTCAGCAGGCTAAATAGAAGTGTTGCAAGTTTGAGGCCAGCCTGGGCAACTTAGTGAGACCCTGTCTGAAAATAAAAAACAAAAAGGGGTGGGGATATAGCTCAGCCCTCTTTGAGTTCAACCCTTAGTGTTGAAAGCAAACAACAAAAAAGAAAAAAATGAAAGAATGTGAAGAAGGATGAAATGAGCTTTATATATCACTCTATGTGCTATGATTTGGATCGCGTCACCTAAAGGTCCATGTGGCAAAATCTTGGTCTGGAGGGTGGCACTGCTGGGAGGTAATAGTGCCTAGTGGGAGGTGGGAGGTCTTCATGTCATTGGGACCATGCCCTTAAAAGAAACTGTGGGACTCTGGTCCCTTCCTCTTTCTTTGCACTGCTGGCCACAAGGTGAGTAGTTTTGCTCTCCCATATACTCCCACCATAATGTGCAGCTACAGGCCCAAAAGTAATGGGCTAAAACTTGTAAAACTGTGAGCCAAATTAAATATTTTCTCTATAAGTTTATAACCTCAGGTGTTCATCATACTAACAGAAATCTGGCCAACATACTATGTAAATTAAAATCACATACACCAAACAATAGTGTGCTTTTCAGTCAAGCCTGGTGCCAAGCACCTGTGTGCCAGCTACAGTACTTAGGAGGCTGAAATGGGATGATCACTTGAGTCCATAAGTTCAAGGCCCAGAGAGAGGGGGTGGGGAAGACAGAGAAGAAGAAAGGGAGAGAGGAAAGAAAGAAGAAATAGTATGCATTTTATAAAAAGACATATTAAGGACTTATATAAAGCACATTAGTGTGCACAACCAGGGGATAGAAAGGAACAGAATTGGAATCAGGGGTGCATTGAAAAAAAGGGGACTCCACCATGAGAGGATAACTACCTGCTAGCCTCCTGCTACCCAGGTGCACAATGAGCACACTCCAGCCAGGGTAATAATACCCTGCTCCATATCCAAACATCTCTCCTAGCCTTCGACTGCTCTTGGCTTACTCAAACTCAGCCTGGAACCCCTTTTCTCCACCCAACCCTGGACTCCCAAAATGGAGCCATGAAGAACAGGGCCACTAGGATGGCAGCAGGAGTCTGGAGTGTAGATACAAACTTGGATGTGCTGACTGACGGTCATGGGTACCACTAGACACAAAGCCAGCCAAATACTTGTGAGAAGAGGCCCTGGCACCATTGGACACCTTAAGGTCTGGGATGTTGAAAGGGAAGGGAGCATCATGGAGTGTTAGGATGTTGAGGTGGGCTGCTGGTAGACTGTTAGGGGCCTATGGGTTGATTCTGCAGTCTCGTGGCATAAGGCCACTCCACTATTGCCAACATTTGTGGAGTCTGTGGGGAGTGTGAACTAAAGAACAAGGCAGAATAAAGAGCTTGACTTCTCTTCGGGACCTGAAAGATTCCATTTCTAGATAACTAAGGTTAAAGACAGTATTTACAGCAGGAACCAGAATAGCATGTCAGGGCTGGATCTTGTCACCAGTTCAAGATCATAATTATTTCCTGGGCACCAAGAATTCACAAAGAAAATATCACCCTTTGAGGCTGAACCTAGTAAAACTACATGATGGTAATAGCAGCACTATTCTTTGGCTATCTGCTGTGGGCAAGTGCGCACAGGCACCATACAGGAATTGATCTCACCATTTTATAGGTAAAAACACTGACATTGAAGATTAATCAAATTGCTTCTCAGGCCGGGGATTTAGCTCAGTGGTTCTGCTGCCTACCTTGCAAACATAAGGACCAGAGTTCGATCCCTGGTACAAAAAAAAAAAAAAAAAAAAAAAAAAAAATTGCCTGTGACACATGATAAATGCCTGTCCACCCCAATACCTATTCTCACAATGGATGGTGTCCTAGTCCATTTTCTGTTGTTAACAATACCACAAACTGAGTGGTTTTTATGGAACAAAGAGGTTTGTTTGGTTCATATTCCAAAGATACAAGGTCAAGGAGCTACATTCAGTGATGACCTTTTTTGTTGGCAGAGTCCAGAGGGAGCACAGGGTATCACAGGCCACAGATAGCGGAGTGTGTGTGTGTGTGTGTCTTTTGGTCTCCATCCCTCTTCTTATGAAGCCACCAGAGTTCAATCATAGAACTCCACCCTGATGACCCTAATAACCCCCAAAAGCCCCACCTCTAAACATGTTCAGATTAGATTTCCACCACCTTTATACCTCACAATGGGGATTAAACTCCAGTGTGTTTTGGGGGGATAAACCACAGATGAGGTTGATCACCTGTGGAGACAGAGTAAGAGGCTGTCTGTAAATGTGTGACTGAATAGTCTGGCATCACTGTGAGCTTCCATCCCCCCAACTTTTTGCCCAAGATAAAGCAGCCACCCTAGGGACAGACACTAAGTGGCAGCCTTGCTTTTTATGTGCATCACCTCATTTCCCTATCTGCTTCTTGCTGAGACTATATTTTGGTATTAGGCTACATCCTAGATCACTGGCTTCCCCCAAGACTGTCTTTGTTCCAAGTCCACAACATATAGCCACAGAGCACAGCCATCCATGGCCAAGAACTTACTGGGACAGTTTGTTCAAAGAAGCAGCTAACATTGGTAGTCCCCAGAGTTCTGCCTTCTGTCCACAACACACCAAAGCTTTTCTTGTATCTGTTACACTCATGTGAATGATCTCACTCTGAGAAAGGTGTGAGCTTCAACAAAATGTTTCCTTCACACTCACCACACCCACTAGGTCCTCTCTTTCAAGATCTCTGATATTGCATAGTGAGCTAGAGCAAAAAAGTCATTCTGCCTTCTTTGAATTTTTAGGTGCTTTCTCTTACACAAATGAAAAGTTTCCTCTACAAGGGATGTGTGAGACAACGCCAGGGAGACCAGCTCACGCTGAAAGCCTGGCACATTCAGAGTGGTATGCACTCTCCATTGTGTGGGTAACTAACGTCTAATAAGGGGTGAACACTGGCTTCAGTGCTTCTCACATGGATGACACTCATGGGTCTTTTCTCCTAAATGTGTTCTGTGGTGGTGAATCAAGTGTGACATCTAAACAGAGCCCCTCCCACACATGATGCAAACAGAGGGCTTCTCTTGTGTGTATTCTTTGATGATCAACCAGGTGTGCTGTTTGACGAAAGCCTTTACGATACTCCTCACCGTTGTGCGGCTTCTCCCAGGATCCATTCTTTGAGATTGAGATAGGTGTGATGGCTGACTGAAGCTTTTCCCACATTCTCGGCATGCAAAGGGCTTTTCTCCTGTATGAATTCTCTGATGCTTGATGAGATTTGCTTTCTGATTAAATGCTTTCATGCACTCATTACATTTGTAGGGCTTCTCTTCAGTGTGTATCAACTAATGTTTAATAAGGGTTGAATTCCCATTAAAGGCTTTTCCATATGTAGTACAGCTGCAGGGTTTTTCTCCAGTGTGAATTCTCTGATGTTTCACAAACTTTGATGCCTCTTGAAATCACAAATGGCACATTCATTACACATATAGGATTTCTCTCCACTGGATTGAGTTGTGATATTCATCCACATTGGATATATCACAGATCTTCTCTTGAGGGTGAGTTTTCTGATATTGAGCAAGGTGTGAATTTTTGCTGAAAGATTTTCCACACACATGATATCTAAGGAGCTTTGATCCACCAGGACCTGTCTCCTATCCACTCAGGCCTGGCTTCCATAGAAAGCCTTGGCCATGTGTCCTTCATCTAGTGGCTCTTTATGCTGGCCTATCCCTCTGACAAGTAATAAACTTTGTACAAAGAGACATTTTTTTTCCTCTAATTTGTGGCATTCCTGGTCTTTCTACACTGGCTTTGAGGAGAGAGCAAGTCATTTGCCCAAACCTCTCTTTTGGAAAAAGAACTTCCTCCTGCCCTTTATTGTGATTTTTTCCATGAATGTTCTGTTCCTGTTTCAGTCCCATAAGCTAGCTGAGACTCAGACTCCTCTGAATTGCCTCTTAGGAAAACTTTCTGGGTTACTCTTTGTAATTCTTTGTCAAAAGATTTTTTTTCCCCCTTTGGAATTAACTGTTTGCATCCTGTCTTGACCTGAGATTCTGAAACAAAAAGAGAAAGTAAAAGCTTCCCTGTGAAAGGAAAACGAAGGTAGCACCCCCATCCCCCATCCACAGAAGTTATGTTCTAGGACCCCCATGATACCTGAAACTGAGGATAATACTGAACTCTATATAAACTATGCTTTTTCATCTCAGTTTTTCACTTAAAGGAAGTACCTCACAACTTCTCTTTGGCCCATATAAAGTGCCAGTGGTTTGGGACACTTATTAACCAAAGTAAGGGTTACTGAAATACAAGTACTGTGATACTGTGACGCTGATAACTCAAGCAGGTACTAAGGCAGGTAGTATATGCAGAGTGGATACTATGCACAGAGGTGATTCTCATTCCAGATGGGATAGTGAGGGACAGCAAGAGTGCATCACACTACTCAGAATGGTATACCAATATAATTTTTAATTATTTCTGCAATTTCCTGTTGAATGTTTTTAGACTGTGATTGACTGTGAAACTGTGGAAAGTGAAGCCACAGATGGTACGGCTAGCAGAGTCATTTTTAAGACTGAGCCAAAGCAAATTTCTGTGCATGTTATATGTCTCAGCCTGAGAAAAGTTTTATGCTCCTTTTTGTTAATGACTTTATTCATTTTCTCTGTCCTGAAGTGAGTTGTATGTGTATCCATCTCTCTGCCTGGCCTGTGAGATACTGAGGCACAGGCTTTATTACATTTGTCTTTGCAGCATCTGGATGGCCCTGGGCACAAAACAGGTAAGCAGGTACTAACAACTGAAGAAACAGAGACTCATTTTAATAGTGTTCTCTTACCAAATGCTCTTGGTGCTCAGGTTTGGGTGAGGAATAAAGTCCCTGCCCCAAGTCGTCTAAGAAGAAGACCAAAAATAGGATATCAAAGTCAGGATAAATAATTCCTCTCCAAGTTAACATGTTCTTGAAGACAAAGGCTTGGTTTTGCTTACTTTCAAGACCAGCAGCTAGAAGAATGCCTGCATGCAGGTGGCACTCAATATGTGCTTATTGTATAAAACAGGGACAGGATGGAGGGCATGTTCTAAAAATATACATACTGGCAAAATTCTGTTTATACTTAGAAACTTAAGTTCTAATCAGTTCACCAGGTGGACACTTGGTCACGAAGAAAATGACCATCCCATCCTACCCAAATTGGAGCACAGGGTGTGTTACAATGGACCTGCACTTAGAGGGATGGGGGCAGGAAGGGAGTCAGTAAAGGACAGTTGGGATCACCCTGATCTCCATGCCATATGCCTCACAGCTCATGCATAAATTACATCACAGCCTCCCCTCAGGAAACCACTTCACTCAGCTGGATAGAAAGGCCCCCAAAAGGCATGAGGTCTCCCTCGCCTCCAGCTGGGGGATGATGTTGGATCTGGACACTGAAGAACCTCTTTATAGAGAACGGAATGGTCAGTTGAGTTCAATCAGAACTTCCCCTGAGCAGGAGCTACAGAGGATGAGAGAAGAAGGGGCTCTAGAGTAGGTTCAGAGGGGAAACAGCAAGAAGAGTCCACTGGATACCCCTTCCTGGGACTAAGATGCACCATAATGGACTAGAGACCAACCAGTCATGGGAGGCAATCACCTGAAACTTACCATCTGGCGATCACCCAGGTTTCTCAGTGTAAGGGTCAAGGGAACTGGACATCTCTGGAGACCCCTGCAGTAGGTCCCAGCTTCCTGTGAGCCTCCACAGCACTGGAAAATTGTTAAAGAATAGACAGAATGAGGCTTATAGAGAAGCTGAGTCTTGGGTCCTGGTCAGTGCTGCTGATGGCAGCAAAGACAAAAGCCCTCAGGCACATTCAGTATTTATTGAATACAATCATTAGAAGGAATAGGGAGCTGGGGAGCTTTGAAGTCATCTAGTGAATTACTGCCAACACCTGGCATGATGGCACCAGGCAGGGCTGTTAGGGAGTAGGCACTGCTTATCTTGATAGGATAGAAGAAACTGGTACTGGGACCAGGCACAATTAGCAAGCAACAAGGTCAGTCAGAAGCATAGTTCAGGGGAAAGGATTTTGATTGGGGTCATGCTGACCTCAACTGCATGTAATGCAGCAGGGCCCTGCCATGTCACAGACCAGGACTTAGGCCTCAGTGATAGCCATTAGCAAAGGAGCAATACTAGTCCAGCTTTGTTAGCTGACATGCCCATTTGAGTCGTGCAGGGCTTCAATCTGAGTCCTGATATAAAACAGTATAGTCAAATTAGGGAAGGCAAGAAGCTTGTCCACTCTTAACCCCCCTAATGGGCAGGGATGTCTCCTACACCTCAGGGTATGGTAGTTCTCCAGCATCACATCCAGGTACAGTGCTCTCTGCTGAGAACCCAGGTGCTGTGCCTCCTCCCAAGTGAAGTACATGGCCACATCCTCAAAAGTCGTATGTCTTGGAACCACAGGCCTTGCTGCCCAGAAGACTCACTCCCACCTGAGGGGCAGGTGCCCCTTGTATTGAAGTCTCCCATTCCTCCCTACAGATTCTGGGGAAAGGAGGTTAGGGGTGGCCCTCGAACCCAGAGTTTCCCTTGGGATCCTGTACACTGCTCAGCCTGGTGGGAGGGGACACCTAACAAAGCAGGCCTGGATCAGGAAGGTGAGACCATTCTGATCCTTAAGGGTGTACTAGGGAGGGGCTCCAGATGGCAGGTGTTCCTGATGGCCAATTCAATGGGGCTTGGCCACCATATCTAGTACAGAGCTACAAAGGACAGCACCAGAGCAAATGAGAGCTGCCTGCTCACCAGGTTTGGCCCTGACTACAGTGGCCCAGACCTCATATTGTTTGAGAGCCAGGTGTTATATAAAGAGGGCTCCCCTCTTATTTCCTTCACCATGAGCCTTGTACTACCAGAGAGTCATGAAATTCAATTTGAAGGACACCCACCTCTTTGCTTGATTTTTGAAGATATGGCATCACCACCACTCCCTCCTAGCAACACTCTCAGCTTTGTCCACTCCTTGTGCTGTTGACTGGCATCCCCTCCCCTTCCTTCTTAGGCCAAGATCCTCCCTGACTAGCTTACCCTCCTCCCTAAGGCCCCTCCAATCAGTGCCTTGAGAAGGGGGCAAGCAAAATAGACTACTGAGTCACATCAAGGGATTCCATAACAATTACATGTGTCCTGAGCAAGTCATCTCACCTCTCTGAGCCTGTTTTCCTGCCCGGCACATGAAAACTGATTAAGTACCTATGGCATTTTTTTTTTTTTTTTTTTTTTTTTTTGGTACCGGGGATTGAACTCAGGTCCCTGCACTTGTGAGGCAGGTGGTGGAACCACTGAGCTAAATCCCCAGCCCCATACCTATGGCTTTAAGTTAGAGCCTGAAAGAAATGCACTTGGTGACAGCATTTGCTACAGGCAAACAGTTGTCTCTGAGAAGCATCTGGCTGATGGCAACATGTCTGTCACCCCACCTTGTAGTCCTACCTACTGACAGCTCTATTCTCTGCTTCCCACACAGGCTGGCCCTCATCCTATACCCTTCTCTGGCCACAACTTTGGACCAACACACTCCCCTTTCTGACTGAGGTTTGGAATTTTTGTTTCCTTTCCCTATCTCCTAGATAGCTCCTGTCATCCTTCAGATCTCATTTGGCAATTCCTTATCCTTTGGCAGAGTTGAGGGGAGCCATGAGCTGTCACAGGAACTGGTCATCAAAGAGCCATGGACAGAGACCCAGAGATCAGCTGAGAGCAGAGGGCAGTGAAGACTGCATGGAGAAAACACAGGAAGGCACCATTAAGGCAGCTGAACCTTCTCCTGTAGGGGCAAGGCAAGCAGGGGGCCAGGCTGGGACAGGGAGATCAAAGAAGGGCAGAAGAGGTGCTTGGGTGGTTTCATAGGAAGGGACTGAGTCTGGCTGCAAAGCCAGATAGGAGGAACCAGCTCTGGGGGACAGTACCATCTGTGATGGCTAAGGCAGTTGGGAGAGGGGGGTTCCAAGGGGCATCTGAGGCCTGACATCCTACATTCTTCCCCTATCCATTTGTACCTGCCTGGCCTGTGGATCTCCTGGCCTCAGTCTCCACAACCAGTACCTCTCTGATCATCCTACTGGCTGGGTGCTGATTTTTCACTTCTCCTTCCTCTCCCTTTTCTTCTTCTTCCTCTTCCTCTACCCTGCCTTTGTGACTTAACCGTGCAGCCCTCAGGATCCACCCTAGGCCACCTTCACCCTATAGCTGCCCTCTCCACACTTGAAATTGGCTTCCAGGCCTGCTCAGGTCCAGCTCCATCTTGATGTATCACAGCTTACTTGGAGATAGTGTGGTCTTGCTCCCTACCCTTCCCCTGCAGGCTCCCACATGGGTAAAACTTTTTTTTTTTTCTGATTTTAAAATGTCTTAATGTAGCTAGGTATGATGGTGCATGTCTGTAATCTGCAACAGGATCATAAATTCAAACCCAGCCTGGGAAACAGTGATGTAGGGAGATTCTGGCTCAAAATAAAAATAAAAGGGCTGGGCATATAGTTCTGTTAGAAGGCCCTGGGTTCAATCCCCAGTACTGTAAACATAAAAAAATGAATACTGAGGAATGAATGCTGAGGAAAAATAGAAAAGAGTGCTCAGGCTGTCTTCAGAGACAGCTGGAGCCAAAACAAGTGGGGACAGTGGCCAAGGTGCTGCTTTCCATCCACATCTCCACCTCGAGGTGTTATTTTGCCTGGAGGGTCCTTCCTGGATTAAAGCAGGGCTCTGCTCCTGTGTCACTCTTACAGCCTGCCCCTGCCCTCATCCACAATGAGATCCTGGTGGGGAGTGGGACAGAGATCTGGGGACAAGACATTGCCTGCTGGATACTAAATGTCAAGCAAAGGCAGAAGGGACGTACAGATGGAAGGAATAAATGAAGAAATGATTTTTCTCTTTTTCTCTTAGTATTGGGATATATCCCAGGAAAGCTCCGTAGTGACTGGCACTGCTGAACTTTCTGGAACTGAAAACTAGGAAAGGGAGGGAATATGATGAGGTTAATAATGGGGTCTCGTCCCTTTCGGAACCTTCACAGCCTAAAATCCACCGAACATACTCCCTCCTGCCTTCGACCTCGCCCCCTACACCCTCCCTAGACCCCGCCCGGTGACACGCCCACACCATGCACAGAACCCGTTCTGTGACCACGCCCCACATTCTGCGCGACCCAGCCCCGTGACCACGCCCAACTCCCTCCACAAACCCCGCCCAATGACCCAGCACCTTGCCATCCACAGACCCCTCCCCCACAGCCTCTTTAGACCCTGCGGGCGACCACCATTCACACCAATCACAGATCCTTACCCCTGACCACAAGCCATGTCCTCCTCAGGCCCTACCTCGTGACCTCATTCCAACTTCCCCCAGCCCTCCCCATGATCCCCTCTTCCACTGCGTGTGGACCCCTACCCTACGGCGCCCGCGGGAAATCTTGGCAGCCCCTCTTGCCGCACCGGGCAGCCGGACACAAGCCGGAAGTGAGGCCCGCCCAGCCGCTCTAGGACAGGGAAGACCGAGCTCTCAGTGGTTTCCAATCCCCGCTGTCTCGGAAGGAGTATGAGCAAATCCCAGAGAGTGGAGCCCAGGCTGTCCTTTCCCTTTCATGGTTCTACTTCTTAGAATGTCTGAATATGACCTAGGAGACCTTTAGGGGTTACGACTTTGAGACTGGTGCTGCCGGGCATCTATCGGCCTTCATAGGTCTGTGGAGGGACCTATGGATAGCCCATTACTGCCATTGTTTATTTACTGGTGTAAATACTGGAGTACAGATACTACTCCTGTGTTTTGGCATGTAAATCATCCTGGAAGAAAAGCATGCAGTTCCTCCAGGAAGAATTTTTACTCCTTTCTGTCTTAGTGAAGCTCTTCTTCCTTGATGAAATCATGTCCCCAGGCCGGGTACACTGAGGAAAGTGCCCTCTGTGGGGAGGAGGGGACACTGTGATATATAGCATGACTGTGACATTAACATATGAGTGTGTGTTTGTGTGCGTGGGGGTGGGGGATTGAACCCAGTGCCTTTACACTGAGCTACATCCTGAGCTATTTTTGTTTTGAAATAAAGTGTTACTAATAATATTGTAGACAGCTAAATTAATTAGATATGTTGTAGGCAGTTAGAGGGAGTCGATACATTGACAATTGAGGACCATCTACTCAAAGCCAAAACTCAAAACGTAAAAGTCACTCATATACTTCCCCTAGATAAATAGCAGTGATTGATATTCTAAATAGACATCAATCACCTTAAATGTGCACCAAAATCTCCCTAGCCCATTTCCTTTCTGGAAACTCTTCGTTCATTCTTTGTACCCTGCTGCTTGACTTGTTTCCCCATTTAATCAATACTATCTGGGTGACTGTACTTGTAATTTTGGGAGGGCAGGTACCAGAGATCGAACTCCAGTCCTTGTGCTTGCAAGGCAGGCGGCAGAACCACTGAGCTAAAACCCCAGCCTGTACTTGTAATCTTATTGGTTGATCATGGTTTTGTCTCACTTCATGTCCACCTTATGATTTTCCATTGGCTCTTATTAGTTGACTATAGTTTTGTCCCATTTTTGTACCCATCTCAACTCATGGCTTTGCTCCATTAAAAAACCCCTGAGGACCAGGGTTCTGGGCAACGTTCTGAGTGTCCCTTCCTGTCCCTCTCAGGCAGGAGCTGTCTCTTCCTCAGTAAATACCAACTCTTAACCTCTGTTGTTTCTAGAATTCTTCGATTTTAGAGAATAGAAATATGGGTTTCAAAAAAAAGAGAAAAGAAACGAAACATGTGTTTCAGATATCTAGTAGGTTGGGGGTGATAATATTTCCTTCTTTGGATTATTTACATTATTTGGATGATGCCCTATATCCCTAAGTTGCAGCAAAATTGGCCAGGCTGCGCTCAAACTTGCCATGCCCCTGTCTCAGCCTCCCAGTGTGCTGTGATTATAAGTGGATCCCACCATGACTAAGTATGACATTAAACTTTGATGGGGTGTGATTAGGGGGGAAAAACACCCAAAAGATCCCCTTAGGATGGCCATATCAAAAGCAAGACTGAGAGGGCCAGGGATTTGGCTCAGTGGTTCTGCGGCCTGCCTGGCAAGCACAAGGGCCTGAGTTTGATTCCAGGTACCAAAAAAAAAAAAAAAAAAAAAAAAAAAAAAAAGCAAGTCTGAGAAACACTGATCTCAGATGCAACATGAACAAATAACTGAGAATTACCAATTGCTTGAGGAAACTGATGAGAGCGAAAAAAAAAGCAAAAGATAAGTAAATAGCAAAGCTGATCCTGAGGAAGGGCCACTTTTCCTTCTGCAGTTAGACTCCAACAATTAGAAAGACAAAGGTCAAGAAAGAGAAAAACTAGACCTGGGAAGATGCCAGGTAACACATTTAACATAAAAATGTAACAGGAAGACCCAACAAAAAAAAACAGGGATGTATCCTGAAACATAAAAAACCAGGGTAAACAGCTCCCTCTCTCACCTGATAAAATACAAAGGAGACAAGAGACAGCCACCTAAGGACTCATTTAATATATATAAAAGACACATACACCTATACATATATACTTATATGTATATTCTCTTGTTGGTATCACTATACCACTGCATGAGATACACACATTCCCTTTTACTTCATTTCTAACTCTAAACTGTCCTTCTCTATGAATATACCCCTCCCCACACTTATCCATTAAAAGGGCAGGAAGAAATCAAATGGCCAAAAAATGCAAAGGTACCCAGGCTACCAGATGCCCAATGTAGGTCAAGGACACCAGTCTTAATAAAAAAAGGAGCTGAGAAAAACCCACAGGTATTCACTTTCTAATGCCTCCTACTTTTCCAGAGCAACTCTCTTCTCTTTTTCCACCTTTTCCAAATAAACTATCTTCCTTTCTTTTAAACTCTGTCTCTTTATAGATGCAGATGAAAACAACACTGAGGTTCTACCTCACCCCACAAAGAATGGCTGCTATCAAGAAATCACACAATAACAAATATTGGTGGGGTTGTGGGGAGAAAGGAACCCTTCTTCATTGTTGGTAGGAGTGCAGACTGGTGTAACCACTATGGAAATCAATATAGAGATACCTCAAAGAGCTGGGACTAGAGGTTCCATTTGACCCAGCCATCACTGCTGGGTATTGCCCATTTGCCCATCAGTTGGAAACTGGATAAAGATGTGGTTTTTCTATAAATGGAATACTACTCAGCCATAAAGAATGAGAAAGTAGATT